CCTCATCATCATCATCAGCAGCATCATCATCAGCAGCATCATCAGCCTCAGCATCATCCTCATCATCACCACTATCAGTATCATTAACATCATCATTAACATCATCATCAGCAGCAGCATCATCAGCACCACCATGGTCATCACCACCACCACCACCATCATTATCATCATCACCACCATTATCAGCATGATCAGCATGATCAGCAGCATCAGTATCATCATCACCACCATGATCAGCATCGCCATCGTCATCCTCGTTCTCCTCCTCCTCATCCTCCTCGTCCTCCACGTCCTCCTCCTCATCCTCCTCCTCTGCCTCCTCCTCATCCTCATCCTCCTCGTCCTCGTCCTCCTCCTCCTACTCCTTCTCCTCCTACTCCTCATCCTCCCTCTCCTCCTCCCCCTCCTCCTCCTCCTCCTCATCTTCCTCCTCGTCCGCCTCGTCCGCCTCGTCCTTCTCATCCTCCTCCTCCTTCTCCTCGTCCTCCTTGTCCTCCTCGTCCTCCTAGTCCTCCTCCTCCTCCTCCTCGTCCTCCTCGTCCTCCTCGTCCTCCTCGTCCTCCTCGTCCTCCTCGTCCTCCTCGTCCTCCTCGTCCTCCTTGTACTCCTTCTCCTTCTCCTTCTCCTCCTCCTCCTCCTCCTCCTCCTCCTCCTGCTCCTCCTCCTCCTCCTCCTCGTCCTCCTCCTCCCACTCCACTGCATCATCATCATCAGCATCATCAGCATCAGCATCATCAGCATCAGCATCACGAGCAGCAGCATCATCAGCATCATCAGCATCATCATCATGAGCAGCGACGCCGTCAGCATCGTCACCATCATTGTCCGAATCATTATCATCAGCATCAGCATCTGCGCCAGCATCATCAGCATCATTATCAGCTGTATCATCCCCACCGTCATCATCACATCATCATCATCAGCATCCTCCTCATCACCATCAGCATCATCAGCAGCAGCGGCATCAGCGGCATCATCGGTATCAGCATCATCACCGTCATTCACCACCACCACCATCAGCATCGTCATCATCAGCAGCAGCATCATCACCAGCATCATCAGCATCAACAACCTTACCATCAGCAGCAGCAGGATCATCATTACCATCATCACCAGTAGCATCGGCATCATCATCATCATCATCATCATCATCAGCATCATCATCATCATCAGCATCGTCATCATCATCATCAGCATCATCATCATCATCATCATCATCATCATCATCATCATCATCATCATCATCATCATCATGAGCATCAGCATCAGCATCGTCATCATCATCCTCATCATCACCATCATCAGCAACCTCATCGTCATCATCAGCGGCAGCATTGTCATCGCAATCGCAATCGCAATCGCCGTCGTCATCGCCATCGTCGCTATCCGCATCAGCATCAGCAGCAGCATCAGCATCAGAAGCAGCATCAGCATCATCATCAGCATCATCAGCAGCAGCAGCATCGCATCAGCAGCAGCATCAGCATCAGAAGCAGCATCAGCAGCAGCATCATCATCATCGACATCAGCAGCAGCATCATCATCATCAGCATCATCGTCGGCACCATCATCATCATCATCAGCATCATCATCATCATCAACATCATCATCATCATCATCGTCATCCGCATCAGCATCATCAGCATCATCATCATCCTCATCATCAGGTTAACCATCATCATCAGCAGCATCATCATCAGTATCATCACCATGACCATCAACACCACCAACACCAACATCAGCATCATCATCGCGATCAGCATCATCAGCATCAGCAGCATCATCATCACCATCACCATCATCATCACCAGCAGCATCACCATCAGCATCATCATCAGCAGCGTCATCATCAGCAGCATCATCATCATCATCAGCAGCAGCCGCATCAGCAGCAGCATCCTCAATATCATCAGTCTCAGTTGCAGCAGCATCATCGTCATCATCAGCAGCATAATCATCATCATCAGCATCATCATCATGATCAGCAACATCATCAGCAGCGTCGTCACCATCGTCATCATGATCATCATCCTCATCCTCATCCTCATCATCATCATCAGCAGCATCATCATCCTCATCATCATCAACATCAAGAGCATCATCATCATCATGATAATCAGCATCAGCAGCATCATCACCATCAGCATCACCAGCATCATCATCATCATCAGCAGCATCATCATCAGCAGCATAAGCAGCATCAGCATCATCAGCATCAGCATCAGCACCAGTATCATCAGCATCGTCATCCTCATCATCATGTTCACTATCAGCATCAACATCATCTGCCATCATTTGCATCACCATCAGCACCCCAATCACCATCCGCATCATCGTCGGCAGCATCATCATCATCATCATCATCATCATCAGCATCATCACCGTCGCCAACACCATCATCATCAGCAGCAGCATCATCATAATCCCCATCAGCATCATCAGCAGCAGCAGCAGCATCATCAGCATCACCATCATCATCACTATCACCATCATCATCAGCAGCATCACCACCATCATCATCATCATCAACAGCAGCATCATCATCAGCAGCATCATCATTATCAGCAGCAGCCGCATCAGCAGCAGCATCATCATCATTATCATCAGTCTCAGGTGCAGCAGCATCATCATCAGCAGCAGAATCATCATCATCATCATCACCATCATCATCAGCAGCGTCGTCATCATCGTCATCCAGATCATCATTATCATCCTCATCCTCATCCTCATCATCATCATCATCATCACCATCATCATAAGCATCACCTCATCATCATCAGCAGTATCATCATCATTATCATCGTCATCATCATCATCATCATCATCATCATCAGCATCATCAGCATCATCATCATCATCATCATCATCATCATCATCATCATAATCGTCGTCGTCGCCGGCGTCGTCGTCGTTGTTGATCCTCCTCCTCCTCCGCCTCCTCGTTCTCCTCCTCCTCCTCCTCCTCCTCCTCCTCCTCCTCCTCCTCCTCCTCCTCCTCCCAGCAACTCATCCCAACCAAGGGGCCGCAGAGGCCGCCGAGCCCTCCAGCACCTCCAGCGCCCACCTCGTCGGGTGGCCCCTCCAGCCGCGCACCCATGGCGAGCGGCCGGGTTGAGGTCCTCATTCCCCTCTTCATACTGTCGGGGTCCTCAGCGTGTCGCGGCGGCGGCCCCGGCGACACGCTGTGCCTTGCAGGCGGATAGCGTGTTGCTCCGCTCTGCGGGGAGGGAGGTTGGGAAAGGCTCGGGACTTAGACGCCTGGGGGCCGGGAGGTGGTTAGCATGTCGCGCCGAAGCGTGGTGGACCAGCACAGGTGGAGCGACACGCTAAGCCAAAGTTCCTGACCGCAGGGCCCCAGAAGCAGTCTCGCCTCCCTGCAGGAACGCGCCCCTTGAAAGACGGACGCCACAAGGGCCCGCAGAGGAAGGAGAGAGGAGGGAAGGGGGGGGTGAGGGAGGGCCTGCCCCTGGGATACCGCCAGGACGGCGCGCGCAAACATCAGGCCAGTGCGGCGGCCTTCGGCTGTCTCAGGCGGCGAGGTGGAAGCGATCGGCCGGTCCAGAAGTGGGCCCGGCGCTGAGTCAACAACGCCAGTCCTACCGACGGAAGAGATGTGCCGATCAAGAAATGCCGTGGGCACTGTGGCGGGCACGTTCCGAGTCGAGAGCCCATACCACAAATGTTGAACTCCTGCGCAAAAACAATGCCCGAGATTGCCAGAGGAGACCTGCACGTAGACAGCGAATACAGAGAGAACAATAGCAGTACTCAGACTGAGTGATCGTAGGGGGAAGAAGCAGCAGCGGCAAGAGAAATGAGGTGCGCGGCGACCTTGACGACGACAATTGCGCGGAATCAACCAGACCAGGCTAATATTACACAAGGAGATGAAATGACCAGAGTTCGGTGACGAGATAATGGTGAAATACCCCCAGAGACGCATGCGAACTCGAACCCAACATCGTGAGGAGAAGGTGTCACCAAGTGCCTCAAAGCAAGCTACTCTTCGCCACCCGCACCACTGTTCAATACTGCAGACTCGCCGAACAAACTGCCTCATCCATAATGGCGAGAGGAGGCTCCCCCCAACGCCTCGAACCAACCGGGTGGAAAAGAGACCACAGCTCAAGATCCTCCCCCCCCCCGCCCTCCCCAGGAGCCCCCTCCTTGTCCTCCTCCTCCTCCTCCTCCTCCTCCTCCTCCTCCTCCTCCTCCTCCTCCTCCTCCTCCTCCTCCTCCCGTGCCTTGGGGGGAAGAGGGACAGGGGCAGGGGAGGGAGAGGCAGGATCAGGAGGAGGGAAAAGAAGGGGGGGATGGGGAACGGGGGAGGGCGAGAGGCGGGGGAAGAGTGAGAGAGGGGGGGGGGGAAGAGTGAGAGAGGGAACCAGACATCCTACGATTTGACTTTTCCAATCCTGGGCCCAAGAGGTCCCGACCCCTTCCCCAGGGTAGCTTTCTACGACGACATGGGAGCAATGAACAAAGCTTCGCGAATCCGATTCGCTGCAAAAGGTTACACCACGTGTGGGGCCCGTTTGCCGCGTAGCTTTTCATCCCGGAGCCGCTCTTGATGACCCTGGGGTCCGATAGCGGCTCCCAGAAGCCGAAATCTAGAAAAACACAAAAAGCGCCTAGATGGGAAACATCAGATTCTTGGAGGTCTGGGCTTGCTTCAGCATCGCCTGACCCATCCCCACGCCCACTGGGCCACGGTATCTCAGCCCCACCAGTCCGCCCTCCTGAATGGGGACAGGCCGGCCAAATCCGAAGGAGCAGTCATGCGTCCCCATCTACGTGGGCAAGTCGGCCAGTGGGGCCAGGGCCACGCCAGTGAAGATGGGGATCGGCCCAAAAGATGCTCAATGCTCGTGCCCCTCGCTGTCCTTCTGGGGAGTGGAGCCTGTCGCGGCATAGATCCCCACCTATGTGGATTAAGTCGGAGATCGGGGAATGCAGTGCAGCGGGACCCCGCGGACGCGGATCCCGCGGCGGGCAGGCGCCTCGAAGACGCGCACCGCCAGCAGCCCCAGCGTGTCCGCGAGCCCGCGCAGCACGCCCGACGACCGCAGCTGCTCCGCACGCTCGACCTCCGACTCGGCGGCCAGCAGGCAGACGGCAGAAGAAGAAAGAGCGGCGTAGCACACAGACTTGATGGGGCAGCGTTCGGGGAAGACGGCGGACATTTCGGACTTCGAGCCTTGAGAATTTCGGACGCTTTCGTGGGTTCTCAGCGGCTTTCCATCCTCGGGATGCCTTCCAGTGGCTGCGCCTCGCCGAAGGCGTTCCAAGCCCCAGATCGTCCCGAGCGGCCGCCGGGGAGCCGAGTTATGACCCGAGAGCTGGGGGGCGCGGCACCGTTGGCGGGGGCCTGGATCGGCCTCCACTGGAAGGAACTGTTTTGCTGTGTCGCCCCCCGGGCCTGCACCAGGCCCGGACCCGGCAGCCCCTGAACTGAACTCAAACGCTGCGTCGCCACGACACACCATCTGCAGTCGGCTTTGATTATCTGGGATGGCGGCTGGGGCATTGGTGGTTGAGCTGGTGTGCAAAAACAGTTTGGAACATCCAGATGAGATCGATCCCGAAATTAATGCTACCCGGGACTTCGTAATCTCAGATGGTGGTTGGCGGGGCGGGGATCCTGCGTGAACCGTCTGCAAAAACGGGCAACCACCGTGTAGATTACGAAATCCTCGATAGGCCTGTTGGGTAGTTTGTAACTGCGCAGGCGGCAGACAGCAGCAACCAACATCGCACTGAACCATTAAGTCGTTTACCCCGATCGGGACTGGACCCCCTAGGCGGCGCCTCCGGCGCCGCCCCTGGCGCGCGAAGCGCGCTAGGAAAGGGGGTGTGCCGATCCAAGAAATCTTCGCGGACCTCCGAGAGTTCACCAGAAAATTCGAAACAAACATGGCTGGATTCGCATACGAACCATCCACAGGACACGACTTGGATACACGTGCGGAAGCCGCCGCGTGCGTGGCCCAAGTCCCGAAGACCCGACCGTCTCCCCAGGGCAAGTTTTTCACCCTGTGTAGTTTTTTCGACAGCCCCAAGGCCTGGCGGGAGCCCAGAAAGGCTGAAATCTACGAACCCGCTTTGTCTTTCCAATGTCCAGAAGATACAGCATCGCGGAAAATCACGAACGGAACCCTTGACCCCACCAGTCTGCGGCAATTCTCGAGGCGGATCGATCTGCGAGGGTCCCGGGGCACGAAAGCGGGCGAAAACGCCGGGTGTGTAAAAACTGCGTCGCCCGGATCTCAGGGTACATTGGACGTCTGTTTGGAATAAATAATTGGGAATGCCTGTGTGTCTCTGAAGACCTCCTCCGGTATGCTGTTTTGCCCTCCGCGGCCCCACAGCTCCCGACCCCTTGCCCTGGCGTAGTTTCTCGTCCTGGATCCACATGGGATGGCTCTGGGGCCCGAGAGGGGGGCCCCCGAGGCCGCAATCGGAGAAAAAATCGCTCGCATGGAAAAATTAGCCTGGCGAAGGACCCAACCATATGCAGGTGTGAGTACCGCAATTGTGATTAACTTTTTCGGTGGTGATCCCTATGAGGCAACGAACCGTGCTAGGGGTGTGCCAAAATAAGTGGCGTGGTACACAATGCGAGCGAAAACGAGCAACACCGGACTGCGCCACGGGGACCTTCGGTGAGGCTCCATATGGGGCCACGAAACGCTGTACTGGGTGAGGGAGATGCATGCGGACTGCGCTATGGGGACCTTCGGTGGGGCTCCAGAATGAGACCACGAAACGCTGTATTGGGTGGGGGAGACGCATGCGGACTGCGCCACGGAGACCTTCGGTGGGGCTCCATATGGGGCCACGAAACGCTGTACTGGGTGAGGGAGACGCCTGCGGACTGCGCCACGGGGACCTTCGGTGGGGGTCCATATGGGGCCACAAAACGGTGTACTGGGTGGGGGAGACGCATGCGGACTGCGCCACGGGGACCTTCGGCGGAGCCCCTATGGGGCCACGAAACGTGTGAGGGGTGGGCCGACATGAGTGGCGGGGACGCATGCGGACCGTCGGCAGAGCTCCTATGTGGCCACGAAGCGTGTGAGGGGTGTGCCGAAATGAATGGCGGGGACGCATGCGGACTGTTCCTCTGGGACCTTCGGCGGAGCCCCTATGGGGCCACGAAACGCTGTACTGGGAAAGTGAGACGCATGCGGACTGCGCCACGGGGATCTTCGGTGGGGCTCCAGAATGGGACCACGAAACGCTGTACTGGGTGGGGGAGACGCATGCGGACTGCGCCACGGGGACCTTCGGCGGAGCCCCTATGGGGCCACAAAACGCTGTACTGGGTGGGGGAGACGCATGCGGACTGTGCCACGGGGACCTTCGGTGGGGGTCCATATGGGGCCACGAAACGCTGTACTGGGTGAAGGAGACGCATGCGGACTGCGCAACGGGGACCTTCGGTGGGGCTCCATAAGGGGCCACGAAACGCTGTACTAGGTGAGGGAGACGCATGCGGACTGCGCCACGGGGACCTTCGGCGGAGCCCCTATGGGGCCACGAAGCGCTGTACTGGGAAGGGGAGACGCATGCGGACTGGGCTACGGGGATCTTCGGCGGGGCTCCAGAATGGGACCACGAAACGCTGTGCTGGGTGAAGGAGACGCATGCGGACTGCGCCACGGGGACCTTCGGCGGAGCCCCTATGGGGCCACAAAACGCTGTACTGGGAAGGGGAGACGCATGCGGACTGCGCTATGGGGACCTTCGGTGGGGCTCCAGAATGAGACCACGAAACGCTGTATTGGGTGGGGGAGACGCATGCGGACTGCGCCACGGAGACCTTCGGTGGGGCTCCATATGGGGCCACGAAACGCTGTACTGGGTGAGGGAGACGCCTGCGGACTGCGCCACGGGGACCTTCGGTGGGGGTCAATATGGGGCCACGAAACGCTGTACTGGGTGGGGGAGACGCATGCGGACTGCGCCACGGGGACCTTCGGTGGAGCTCCCTATGGGCAACGAAACGTGTGATGATGTTGATGATGCTGATGTTGATGATGATGGTGATGATGACGACGATGATGATGACGATGACGATGACGATGACGATGATGACGATGACGATGACGATGACGATGACGATGACGATGACGATGACGATGACGATGACGATGACGGTGACGGTGATGATGATGATGATGATGATGATGATGATGATGATGATGATGATGATGATGATGATGATGATGATGATGATGATGATGATGATGATGATGAGAGGAAGAGAGGAAGAGAGGAGGGAGGAGGAAGGAGGAGGAACGTGGGGCGACGTCTCTTCAAAACGAGGACCCAACAGCACAAATTGGTTGGGAAAAACAGGCCCTCGGAAATCCGGGAAGCGAATCCCACCGTCCCGACCCTGTCCCCAGGGCCAGCCTTCCGCCCTGGGCAGTGTGTGTTGGACGGTGCCGGGGCCTGGAGAGGGCCCAGAACGGCCGACAACGGAGCCCAAACTTCGTCAGGTTGCTCCCAACGAGCTGACGGCCTGTGTTCTTTGTACTTCGGAGCTCCTGGTATGTTTACGCCGCTTCTCACTTCGATGCATCGCCGCCGTCGGAGATGCATCGGCGACGTCAGCGCGGAGAGAACCGGTCTTGCTTCCAAGGAGTTGAAGGCCTCTGTTCTCTGCTCTGCAGAACGCCTGCCGGCCTAGACCAAACGAGCCTCAAACGTGTGTCGCGCAGATTCCCTGTCGCGCGCGCAAGGTACAGTCGGACCTATCCTTCAAGAGCATGAGACCCTCCGTCGGCAAAAACAAACAGAACATCGAATGGCACCCTCCCCAAGATGCACAAGAAGATCCAACAAGCACGAAGAACACGAGGGTGCTCTCCCCGAACCGACCTCGACCTTATACCTCGGTCCGATTGTACTTGTTGCTGCCCCCTCTACAGTGTCGGCCACCGTGGAACCTCCGAGTCAGAGTCACACCCCGCAGACCGCCCTTCGCTCTGCTTCGACACCGAACGGGGGCGCCACTGAAGTGGGGCAACAGGGGCGACACTGACAGGGGGCGTCAACTATTTTTGAGGCGAACGTTGTCGAGAGCTGTGGCATGTTTACGTCGTGCCCAGACATCCAGTGTCTCGACTTTCTCGAGACACGGGCCCCCGTCCTCTCGACCCTTTTCCTGGGGCCGGCTTTCCCTCCCATGTCGTCTTTCTGACGGCCCCGATGCCCAGTGAGGGCCCCGAGAGGCCGAAAATTATGAGAAGTCTGCGCCTCGACTTCCTCCAGACGCCAGATGCCTGGGTCTCTCCCAGCGCCGCCCGAGAGCGCCATCGGAGGACCGCGCCGCATCGCCAATGCAGCGGCGATGCATTGTCGATGCATCGGCGATGCATTGTCGATGCATCGGCGATGCAGCAACGACATCCAGGCGGAGAAAATCGGGCTCCACATCGCGCCGCATCGCCGATGCATCGGCGATGCGGCGCGATCCTCCGAGCAACCCTACTCCGGCCTCGTTTGGAAGGCCCGTCTGGAAGGCCCGTTTACGCCGCTCCTCTCCTTCGAGATGAGCTCGGCGCCGCACGAGAGCGCCACGGGGCGCTGCGGCAGCAGCCGCCGCGCGGGCGCCGCGCGCAGCCGCACGCTCTGCGCGCTGCGAGGCGGCACCTCTATTGGGGAAACAACAATGTACCGATACCGCTACTCCCTGGACCTCTCCTGGGGCGCGTTCTGACCAGAATTTCGAAGCGAATCCGGCGGTGGCGACGAGGTCCTCCCAGGAGGCCCCAAAAAGCGAAAACGATGCAAGGGTAGCGGCACGGGTACCATTTTCTCATCTGAAGCTCTGCGCGCTGCGGGCCCGTGCGCATACTTTTTCGCAAGATGGTCCAAAATGCTCCTCGAGGGTCCTCGCCGAGAAAAAATGCACACGTCCGAGCGATGCCAAGGCTGCGCGGCGGCACCTCCACGCGATCCTGCAGCGCGCCCTCGGCCCCGGGGAACTCCCCGCCGGCCGGCCACGGCGGGCCCTCCCGCAGCGCCGACAGCGCCGCGCGGGCCGCCGAGAGGGCGTCCCACTCGCCTATAGGAGCACGCTTGGACCAAGCCCGGGAGGACCCAGGAGGAGGACCCAGGAGGAGGACAATGCGGGATAACTCGGCGACGACGGAGTCGAAGAGCGCAAAAGACGAGCGCACGAGGACGCCACAGGGCGCCGAGGCCTCCCGAGACCCGATGCGGCAGAGGTAAGCCCTGCTTCAGAGAGGACCTGGGAGGAGGACGACCGCGGAAGAGTCGCGTCGTGAGAAAAAGACGGCCAGGTTTTCTGTTTTCGGACTCTGTGGGCTCCTCCTCCTCCCTCCTCCTCCTCCTCCTCCTCTCCTCCTTCTCCCTCCTCCTCCTCCTCCTCCTCCTCTCCTCCTCCTCCTCCTCCTCCTCCTCCTCCCTCCTCCTCCCTCCTCCTTCCTCCCTCCTCCTCCTCCTCTCCTCCTCCTCCTCTCCTCCTCCTCCTCCTCCTCCTCCTCCTCCTCCTCCTCCTCCTCCTCATACTCCTCCTCCTCCACCTCCCTCCTCCTCATCATCATCATCATCCCTCCTCCTCCTCCTCCTCCTCCTCCTCCTCCTCCCTCCTCCTCCTCCTCCTCTCCTCCTCCCCCTCTCCTCCTCCCTCCTCCTCCGCCTCCGCCTCGCCTTCTCCTCCGCCTCCTCCTTCTCCTCCGCCTCCTCCTCCTCCTCCGCCTCCTCCTCCTCCTCCGCCTCCCCCTCCTCCTTGAGAATGGCGGATTGTGGAGCCCCTCGGGGTTCCAGGGCTCGCGCGCGAGGCTTTCACACTGAGTTCGCGCTTGCGTCTTTCAGTGCTGTGCGTACTCTGTGGCGTCCTCCTCTCCTTCCGCCTCCCCCTCCTCCTCCTCCTCCTCCTCCTCCTCCTCCTCCTCCTCCTCCTCCTCCTCCTCCTCCTCCTCCTCCTCCTCCTCCTCCTCCTCCTCCTCCTCCTCATTTTTTTGTCTCTCTCCCCCCCCCGGGAACAAATGTGTTTTTGGGGGGCGGGGGGTCGGCGGCGAAAAAAAGGAATGCGGCGTGGCCTCATCTGCCCTCCCCCTAGAAGGATTCCTATTGAACGCTCCCACAAGCAGGATTCATAGTGAAATCCTCTACAGAAGGATTCCTATCAAACCCTCCACTGAATGATTCCTACTGGAATCCTCAACAGATGGATTCCTATTGAAATCACCCGCAGAAGGATTGTATTGATATTCTTCAAACAAAAGAACCCCCAGTTGGCATTGCATTGGCATTGGTTTGGCAATGGTTTGGCATCGCATTGACATTGCGTTGGCATTGCGCTCGGCAGTGCGTTGCTAGCGCGCTTGCATTTCGCAAGCACTGCGCTGGCGAGTCCTAATGGAACCCTCCACAGAAGGACTCCGATCGAAACCTTCTACAAGAAGGACTCCGACTGAAACCTCCACAGAAACGGTTCATATTGACACCCTCCACAGAGGAGGGATTACATGCGAAACCCTCCACAGAAGGATTCCTAATGAAATCTACCACAAAGGATTTCCCCCATTGGCAGTGCATTGGCATTGAGTTGGGATCGCTTTGGCATTGGGGTGGCATTGCGTTGGCACTGCGTTGGCAGTGCGCTGGCATTGCGCTGGCGAGATTCAACACCCCCCTTCGCAGAATGATTCCTGTTGAACCCCCCACGAGAAGGATTCCGATTGAAGCATCTCACAAGAAGGGTTCACATTGAACTCCCTCACGGAAGGGTTCCATTCGAAGCCCTCCATAGAAGGATTCTTCTTGAGCCCGACCACGAACGATTCCCCCCATTGGCATTGCATTGGCAATGGTTTGGCATCGCATTGGCCTTGCGCGTGGCAGTGCGTTGCTAGCGCACTTGCATGTCGCATGCATTGCGCTGGCGTGTCCTAATGGAACCCTCCACAGAAGGACTCCGATCGAAACCTTCTACAAGAAGGACTCCTATTGAAACCCTCCACAAAAACGGTTCATATTGACACCCTCCACAGCAGACGGATTCCATGCGAAACCCTCTACAGAAGGATTCCTAATGAAATCTACCACAGAGAGTTTCCCCCATTGGCAGTGCATCGGCATTGGGTTGGGATCGCTTTGGCATTGGTGTGGCATTGCGTTGGCACTGAGTTGGCATTGCGCTGGCGAGTTCCGACACCTCCCTTCGCAGAATGATTCCTGCTGAACCCCCCACGAGAAGGATTCCGATTGAAGCAACCCACAAGAAGGGTTCACATTGAACTCCCTCACGGAAGGATTCCATTCGAAACCCTCCACAGAAGGATTCTTCTTGAACCCGACCACAAACGATTTCACCCATTGGCATTGCATTGGCATTGGTTTGGCAATGGTGTGACATCGCCTTGGCATTGCGTTGGCATTGCGCTCGGCAGTGCGCTGCTAGCGCGCTTGCATTTCGCAAGCATTGCGTTGGCGAGTCCGAATGGAACCCTCCACAGAAGGACTCCGATCGAAACCTTCTACACGAAGGACTCCTATTGAAACCCTCCACAGAAACTGTTCATATTGACACCCTCCACAGAGGGATTACATGCGAAACCCTCCACATAAGGATTCCTATTGAAATCTACCACAAAGGATTTCCCCCATTGGCAGTGCATTGGCATTGGGTTGGCATCGCTGTGGCATTGGTGTGGCATTGCGTTGGCACTGCGTTGGCAGTGCGCTGGCATTGCGCTGGCGAGTTCCAACACCCCCCCGTCGCAGAATGATTCCTGCTGAACCCCCCACAAGAAGGATTCCGATTGAAGCATCCCACAAGAAGGGTTCACATTGAACTCTCTCGCGGAAGGATTCCAGTCGAAACCCTCCATAGAAGGATTCTTCTTGAACCCGACCACAAACGATTTCCCCCATTGGCATTGCATTGGCATTGACTTGGGATCGCTTTGGCATTGGCTTGACATTGCATTGGTAGTGCGTTGGCATTGCGCTGACGAGTTCTAATGGCTCCCCCACATAAGGAACCCTATGAAAACCTTGCACAAGAAGGGATCCTTTTGAAAGTCCCCACATGAAAGATTCACAGCGAAACCACCCACAGAAAGATTCCGATCGAAACCCTCCACGGGAGGATTCCCATCGGCATCCTCCAAAGAAGGATTCGTAACCACATCATCCACATAAGGATTCCTAGTGAAATCTGCTGGAAGAGAGGAATCCCGCCATCGGCATTGCATTGGCGTTGGTTTGGCAACGGTTTGGCATCGCGTTGGCATTGCGTTGGCATTGCGATGGCAGTGCGTTAGCAGTGCCTTGGCATTGCGTTGGCATTGCGCTGACGAGTCCGACTCACACACTTCACAGACGGATTCCTATTGAACGCCCCCACAAAAAGGATGCCTATTGAATCCCCCCCACAAGAAGGCTTCAAATTGAAATCCTCAACAGAAGGGTTCCATGCGGAGCCCCCCATATAACGTTTCCTCTTGAAATCCCCCGAAGAAGGGTTCTTAGAAGGACTGTTATTGAAATCTACCACAAACAATTCCCCCCATTGGCATTGCATTGGCATTGGCTTGGCATTGCGTTGGCACTGCTTCGGCATTGCGCAGGCGAGTTCAAATGACCCCCACCACAGAAGGATTACTTACCTTCCACAAGAAGGGGTCCTTTTGAAAGCCCCCCACTTAAAATATTCATACTGAAGCCCCCCACGGAATGATTTCAATCGAAACCCTTCACAGGTAGGGTTGCTTCGAAATCTACCACAAAGGGTACCCCCCATTGGCATTGCATTGGCATTGAATTGGGATCGCCTTGGCATTGGTTTGGCATTGCGATGGCAAAGCTTTGGCACTGCGTTGGCATTGCGCTGGCGAATCCTACTGGCTCCCTCCGCAGACGGACTCCTACTGAAACCCTCCACAAAAACGATTCCGACTGAATCCTACCACATGAAGGACTCCTAGTGAAACCCTCCACATGAGGATCCCTATCGAAACCCTACACATAAACATTGCTATTGAAGTCCTCCGGAGAAGGATCCGTAATGACATCATCCACAAAGTATTCCTATTGAAATCCACCGAACGAAAGGATTCCCCCATTGGCATTACATTGGCATTGGTGTTGGTTGGACATGAATGTGTATCGCATCGGCATGCATTGGCCTGGTGCAGGAGATAGACAAAGAGAGAGAGAGAGAGAGACAAAGAGAGAGAGAGAGAACACTAGAGAACGATATGACGAGAAAATAAAAGTATGAGGGGACCACGGCGGAAAGAAAAATTACAAAAAACAATCAAAGTTTGAAGGTGAAAGAGCGTTTCACTCGATAACAAAAAAACGTATGAAAGCGACGAGGGGCTGCAGAATCCCCTGGCCTCGAGATCCTCCTCCTCCTCCTCCTCCTCCTCCTCCTCCTCCTCCCTCCTCCCTCATCATCATCATCATCATCATCATCATCATCATCATCATCATCATCATCATCATCATCATCATCATCATCATCATCATCATCATCATCATCATCATCATCATCATCCCCCCCCTCACCCTCCTCCTCCTCCGCCTCCTCCTCCTTCTCCTCCCCCTCCTCCTCCTCCGCCTCCTCATCCTCCTCCTACTCCTCCTACTCCTCCCCGGGGCTGCCAGAAAACGACTCAGGATGGAAAACTGGTCCCTGGAGGAAGGTCGAGAGTTCTGGTCGTCGACGTTGAGAAGAATCATGACGTCGGGATCTGGGTACGTATGCACATACACCGATCCGGGCCAGGCTCCTCCTGGGCCCACGATCGGTGTGTCTGCGTCCCTGCCCGAACCAGAGGGGCCTTAGCTGCCCTGGTACGCAGCACGCCACCCAGAACGCGACGACAGGCGGCTCGAGAAGTACATTCAACACGTGCGTCTGGCTGCATACTTTCGCCAACACATAGGCCCGCAGGTTGAGCCGAAACTCAACGACTTGACCCCATACGTTTTGAACACGGAACGTGTTGCGTTTCAACCCGGGGGACCCAGGGCAGCTGAGAGAAGGGCGTATTCACCGACCCGAGTCCCAAGATCGGCCTGGCCATG